GAACGGCATACGCGGACGCATGAAGGCCGCCGTCCATGAGCTGTTGCGTCAGTACTACGACGTGGAGTCCCAGTTCCAGCACGGACACTACGACAAGTGCGTCGGCCTGGTGCGCGAGCACAACAAGGACGACATGCTGACGGTGGTCAATACGATATTCTCGCACTCGCAGGTGGCCAAAAAGAATCTGCTGGTCACGCTGCTCATCGATCATCTGTGGGCCAACGAGCCGGGCCTCACCGACGAGTTGGCCAACACGCTCAGCGAGCTGACCTCCCTCAACCGGGCGGAGCATTCCCGTGTGGCCTTGCGTTCCCGCCAGGTGCTCATTGCCGCCCATCAGCCGGCCTATGAGCTGCGTCACAACCAGATGGAGTCCATTTTCCTGTCGGCCGTCGATATGTATGGCCACGATTTCCATCCAGAGAACTTGCAGCGTTTGATCCTGTCGGAGACGTCCATCTTCGACATACTCCACGACTTCTTCTATCACTCCAATCGGGCTGTCTGTAATGCCGCCCTCGAGGTCTATGTGAGACGTGCCTACACGTCGTACGAGCTGACCTGCCTGCAGCACTTGGAGCTGTCCGGCGGCTTGCCACTAGTGCATTTCCAGTTTCTGCTGCCGACAGCGCATCCGAATCGTTTGTTCTCGCGCATGAGCTCGCCGGAGGGCCTGGATCAGGCGATAGCTACCGAAACTATGGGCAGCTCCTTTGTACGCACCGGTGCGATTGCGGCCTTTGATTCGTTCGAGCACTTCTCCATGTATTCGGATGAGATCCTCGATCTGTTGGAGGATTTCGTGTCGCCAGCGCTGGTTAGCGCCAAGGTCTTGGAGGCGGTCGAGGCTGCCGATTCCATATCGGACAGTCGCCACAGCACCTCGATCAATGTCTCACTCTCGGATCCCATCACGCGTGCCAATGCCGCCGAGGAGGCCAAATCCACGGAGCCCATTCACATCATCAGCGTTGCTGTGCGGGAGACGGGCGAAATGGACGATGTGCAAATGTCGCAGATCTTCGGCAACTACTGCATGGAGCACAACGAGGAGCTGTTTCAGCGACGCATACGTCGCATCACCTTTGCCGCGCTCAAGAAGCGCCAGTTCCCCAAGTTCTTTACTTATCGCGCCCGGGACAAGTTTGAGGAGGATCGCATCTACAGACATCTGGAGCCGGCATCTGCTTTCCATTTGGAGCTGAATCGCATGAAGACCTATGATCTGGAGGCCTTGCCGACGGCCAATCAGAAGATGCACCTGTATTTGGGCAGGGCCAAGGTGTCCAAGGGTCAAGAGGTCACCGATTTCCGTTTCTTCATACGTTCCATTATCCGGCACTCGGACCTGATCACCAAGGAGGCCTCCTTTGAGTATCTGCAAAACGAGGGCGAGCGTGTGCTGCTCGAGGCCATGGACGAGCTAGAGGTGGCCTTCTCCCATCCGGATGCCAAACGCACCGATTGCAATCACATATTCCTCAACTTTGTGCCCACCGTCATTATGGATCCCGCGAAAATCGAAGAGTCTGTCACCAAAATGATCATGCGCTATGGCCCGCGTCTGTGGAAGCTGCGCGTGCTCCAGGCCGAGCTCAAGATGGTCATCCGGCAGTCGCCCCAATCGCCCACGCAGGCGGTGCGTCTGTGCATAGCCAACGATTCCGGCTACTTCCTGGACATCTCCATGTATACGGAACAAACCGAACCCGAAACGGGCATCGTAAGTGGAGACTCCCTTAGACCCTTCCTGCAGCTAATCCCTTACTCTCTCTCTTTGCAGATCAAGTTTAGGGCCTATGGTGATAAGCAGGGCTCGTTGCATGGCCATCCCATCTCATCGCCGTACATGACCAAGGACTTTTTGCAGCAGAAACGCTTCCAGGCGCAATCTAATGGCACCACCTATGTCTACGATGTGCCCGACATGTTCCGCCAGATGACCGAACGTCATTGGAAGGAGTTTTCCAAGGCGCGTCCTACTGTGGATATACGCATACCCGATAAGATTCTGCTCGAGTGCAAGGAGCTGGTGCTGGAGGACGATAATCTGGTCGAGCTGCAGCGTCTGCCGGGCGAGAATAATGTGAGTATATATAGGAGCTGGGATTGCCCATTTTAGATAGAATCTTCGAATTAACCCCCCTTCCAATGTCCATCTCTTGCAGTGTGGCATGGTTGCTTGGCGTATTGTGCTGGCCACACCCGAGTATCCGGCTGGTCGCGAGATTATCGTGATTGCCAACGATCTGACCTATTTGATTGGCTCCTTTGGCATCAAGGAGGATGTGCTCTTTGCCAAGGCCTCGCAGCTGGCCCGCAAACTCAAAGTGCCTCGTGTAAGTGGCTCCATTGGACACCTGAGCTGAGCTCTATAACTTGATAACTAAATCTCCGTCCGCAGATATACATCTCCGTTAACAGCGGCGCGCGCATTGGTCTTGCCGAGGAGGTGAAAGCCATGTTTAGAATAGCCTGGGAGGATCCCGAAGAGCCCGACAAGGGCTTCAAATATCTATACCTGTCCACGGAGGATTACGCCAAGGTGGCCAATCTGAATTCGGTGCGTGCCATACTCATCGAGGATGAGGGCGAGCAGCGCTACAAGATCACCGATATCATTGGCAAAGACGACGGTCTGGGCGTTGAGAATCTGCGCTATGCTGGCCTCATTGCCGGCGAGACTTCGCAGGCATACGAGGAGATCGTGACCATTGCCATGGTCACCTGCCGCACCATTGGCATTGGCTCCTATGTGGTGCGTCTGGGTCAGCGTGTCATACAGATCGACAACTCGCATATTATACTCACGGGTTATGCTGCTCTGAACAAGGTAGGGTAAATCATTGGCCGTAAGCTGAGCTTTATTAATCGTGCTCTTCTCTCTAGCTACTCGGCCGCAAGGTTTATGCCTCGAATAACCAGCTGGGTGGCGTTCAGATCATGTTCAACAATGGCGTCACCCACAAGACGGAAGCCATCGATTTGGATGGCGTCTACACAATACTCGACTGGCTCTCCTACATTCCCGCCTACATTGGCTGTGATCTGCCCATCATTATGCCCAGCGATCAAATTGATCGTCCTGTCGATTTCATGCCCACCAAATCGCCTTATGATCCGCGCTGGATGCTCGCCGGTCGTGTGAATCCTGTAAATGCCAATGAATGGGAAAACGGTTTCTTCGATCGCGATTCTTGGAACGAGATCATGGCGCCATGGGCTAAAACCGTGGTCACGGGTCGCGCCCGTTTGGGTGGTGTGCCCGTCGGCGTTATAGCCGTGGAGACGCGCACTGTGGAAGTGGAAATGCCCGCCGATCCGGCCAATTTGGATTCGGAAGCAAAGACACTGCAGCAGGCCGGTCAAGTATGGTATCCGGATTCATCGTACAAGACGGCGCAGGCTATCAAGGATTTCGGACGCGAGGAGTTGCCATTGATTGTTTTTGCCAACTGGCGAGGCTTCTCCGGCGGCATGAAGGACATGTACGAGCAGATTGTCAAATTTGGCGCATACATTGTCGATGGTCTACGCGAGTACAAGAAGCCGGTGCTTATCTATTTGCCACCCAATGCCGAGCTGCGTGGCGGCGCTTGGGCTGTGCTCGATTCGCTCATCAATCCGCGTTATATGGAAACATATGCCGATCCAGAAGCGCGCGGCGGTGTGCTTGAGCCCGAGGGCATTGTGGAGATCAAGTACAAAGAAAAGGATCTTGTCAAGACAATACATCGCCTGGATGGCACCACTATTGGGGTACGAGCAGACTTAATATATTATACTCTTTTATAAATAGATTAACTCATCATTAATATAATCCCAATAGCTAAAACGCGAGCACGACGAAGCGGTGGCCGCTGGCGATAAGGTCAAGGCGGCGCTGCTGGATGAGAAGATCAAGGCGCGCATCGCGGTGCTGATGCATGTTTATCACACAGTCGCCGTGCACTTTGCCGATCTGCACGATACGCCGGAGCGTATGCTGGAGAAGGAGTGCATCAGCGAAATTGTGCCCTGGCGCGAATCACGTCGCTGGCTCTACTGGCGACTACGTCGGCTGCTGCTCGAGGATGCGTACATTAAGAAGATTTTGCGCGCGCAGGATAATCTCTCTGTGGGTCAGGCCAAGCAGATGCTGCGTCGCTGGCTGGTCGAGGATAAGGGCGCCACTGAGGTAGATATCCCTATTGAGCTGACTTTGTCTATCAAAATTTAATACGTGTGTGTTTTTTACAGGCCTATTTGTGGGACAAGAATGAGGAAATGGTATCCTGGTATCAGGAGCAAATAAATGCCGAATCGATTGTGTCCAAAAATATCAGCTCTGTGAGGCGGGATGCCATCATCTCCACAATATCCAAAATGCTAGAGGTTGGCTATAAAGATTTTCAATTACATATAGTTTATGTATTAATATATATGTATTTTATCTGTCGCAGGACTGTCCGGATGTGGCGCTGGACGCTGTTGTTGGCCTCTGCCAGGGCCTCACGCCAGTGAATCGTGGCGTTGTGGTGCGCACGTTGGCACAAATGCAGCTAAACGAGGAGTCCTCCGCGAATACCCAAGGATGACTCTACGTTAACTATTAAGTTATGTGAGAATTGAGTCTCTTAAAAATTTGGTGTTCGGATTTGGTTTGGTGCAACGCACAATATCGAAGAGTGTTTGTTTACCCTTAGGATGCTTTCAGCGAATCGTTAAAAAGCTTTGCTTTTGTACCATTTGCATTTTGTTTAGTTGAATTTTTTGTAAATTTAATTAGCCTATTATACTAGATACTAATTAGTTAACTTCAATGGCATTGGCAGACCTTCTGCTGTTGTCTGTTCTTTTTTTTGGAATTGTAGGCAGTGGGTAGTACGAGGAACCCTCTTCATTTAAATTTGGTAGTTACTCAGATATCAAAAACAAAAAAAAAAGGAAGATATATATATACACTACTCTATATATATATACATATATATATATTTATATATAATATACATTGTTTTTGTATTTGTATTGTATACAAAAGCAAAACTTTCCGCTAGCTGTCTAAGACTTAAAATTGTTTATATACACAGACTTTTTGTGAATTATACGAATAGAAATACTATTGTGAATATGTGTGTATGTACATGTTTCATATAAATTGAATTTATATTTTACTATTGTTTCGAATGTGCACTGATTCATGGAATCATTTTGTATGCATTTTAGCCATTTATTTCTTAAATTCAAAATGAAATTTACACATGGAACTCGGCGGCGGCAAGCGTTAAATTAAATGTAAAACATGTCGAACTTTCCCAGATCAGGATGAGAATTTCAGTAAAGTTTTGTATGATGCAGTCTGCCCACCTCGCATGATCAGTTCTGTTGATCCAGCCAGTCCGGCTCGGCCACGCCGATTTTCTCTATAATGGAATTAACTTGATAGCACAGCGATTGAATTTGACGATCCCATTGGGGCAGCAGTTCACGATTCTCAAAGTGCACAATGCCCGAGATTTGGTCAATGTGCCCGTTCATGCGTCCCTCGGTGATCATTTGCGAGGCGATCTTCTCCGCCTTGGCAGCGGGTATGTCCAACAGGGCGCCGAGTTCCTCGAATGTTATGTTATTGTACAATTTACTGGCGGACAACAAATTGTGCTCAAAGACAGCGCGATCCAATATGGAAGAGCCATCCGGTGTGGCAGCCTTTTGATGGTCCATCAGCAATGCCTCAAACTCCTGCAGCTCCGAGCGACGTATAATGCGCTCCAAGTACATCTTCTCCAGTATGCCATAGGCTGGCAAATGCTGGCAGCGCTCATCCTTGAAGAGCGTGGCCAGCATGCGGGAGCGCTGCTGCCCAGCCGAGGCGAGCACCGTGCAGATCAACGCCTTCTTTAGCGCTGTCATCCGCTCGCCCTGGTCCACTATTTTGCGGTAGGACAGTTCGTTGTAGCGTTGGGCAGCCTCGATGAATTTGCGGCGGTAGTCGAGGACGCGGGCATAGCACACTTTGTACAAAACCTGCAGGCCGGACAACAGATAAGAATATGTGGAAACTTGGTGTAAATAAGGATATTACCTGCAATTCCTCGGAGTTTGTTTCTGCCTGGAGCAGCGAGGCGCGATTAATGAACAGCTCGGCCTGCACTGAATCATTGTCCTCCAGATAGAGACGTGCTATTTTCAAGTATGTGCCCAATTTGCACTCCACGGAGTATTGTTTCTGGCCCGTCTCGAGGGGAATGCCAACCAAAACGGTAGCCGCATCGCGCCACTGTTGATTACGCTCGTATATGTTGGCCAAATGGAAACGGATGCCGGCCACCTGCTCCTCAAACGATATGACGCGTGGGTGCACCTTCTCCAGTGTGAAATGGGATAGCTGCTTGGACATGTCGTCGGGCAGTTTACTCAGCTCGACGCCGACATCGTTCAGTATCTGACGAGCTATGACCAGGCTAACATGCTCGTTGACAATGGCCTCCACAAAGAGTTTCAGTGTATCGATCAATTCGGGACCGGTGTTTGCTAGGACACTCTTCAGCAGCTGGCGGTACTTGTCCGCTTGGTCCTTGTGCGTACCAATGAAGTTGGTCAAGCCCATCAACTGGGTACGCAGCACCGCCGTAGATATGCCCATTATCTAGGTTCTTAACGCAAACAATGACTTTATTGCAATAAGAAATCGGACAAACTAATAAATATTATCGATATGGCTGGCAACAGTGCTGGACAATGCTGACAGTTATAACCAAAGTTGCCATATGTGCCATAAAATAACAAAACTGGTATTTTATTTATATAAAATGGTGTCCTTTTTTTATTTTCAAATTTCATATCACTCTTATTAATTGTTTAATTTTAAATAGAATGTAATAAATAATACGTTTAAATTTAATTTGAATAATAAACATTCAACTAAGATATCCCTCATACAAAAGATACACATTTTGGTAAAGAATAATTTAAGCAGGTGGCAACTTTAATTCTAATCGACAGCGCCAAGAACATTTATCGATAATCGTAGATTTTATATAAACAGAGCGGCAAACACGTCGGCAACTAGAATTTGGGCATGGATTTGCCTGTTGAACATGGAAGATGATGATGATGATGACTACAGCATAGATGCAAGTCCAACGAAACCAAGTCCCAGTTGTTACAAGCGCGCCGAACTCCTGCTTAGAAGAAAAACTCGTACAGTACAAGAAAACTACGACAGCCAGACAAAGCCGGCGCCGGCAACACAATGGCCATGTGGGACTCCAAATCAACAGTCACGCCAGGACTTGCTGAGTGCCTGGGAGCTGCGCGAAGAACAGCTTTTTGAAGCCGACCGCTTGGACTGCCTGCGCGCCCAACAAGAGCCACTGCGGGTACGTGCCGTGCCTGCCTCACAGAACTTCCACTCGCTGCAGTCCATGCTGGAGAGCCAGGAGATGCCCATGGAGCAGGCCTCGTCAAAGCCAGAAGCAACAGAACAGCTGCTAAGTAAACCAAGCAGCATTGTACAGGAAATACTCTGGGATTTTTGTTCGTCGCCCACATATGTGGAGGAGCAGCTGCCCACAGATGATGCTTCGCCCTGGTTTCGTTTTCGTGGCAAGAAAATTAAAACCTTTGGTCACAGGCGCTCGACAGCAATTGCAGCAATCACAGCTGATGATGAGGATCGCTTGAGTTGCTCCTCGGAGCTATCTGTGCAAGAGTATTATACCACCCAAGTGCCCACGACGACGCACTGCGCCTTCGATGTGAATAGCTCACAGAAGATCTGTGAAAACCTTCTCAATTTGAGTGCATTCTTCTCGCAAAACAATGTTAATAAATCAATTGATTTGCCCGATATAGATCCTAAAAGTTGTACAGCAATAGAAGCTAATGATTACGAGCAAGAAGATGCAACAGATGTTGTAGAGGATATGGGCTACTTTCTGGGCAGCACGGAGCAATGCAGATTGCTTGAAGAAAACTGTGATATTAAAATAAAGGGTGAGTCTTTTATTAATCATTAACTCAGCTGCTTTACCTATAAAGTCTCCTCTTTACAGATGATGCTGAGTTTTCACTATTTGGCGAACGTTCTCGCTTGCTGGCAAGGGAAACTCCGCTTAAGGCTGGCCAATCTCAAGGTGTGTGCTATATAGTTTCCATATTCTATAGTTATAATATTACTATTTTATAGATGCAAATTTGTGTGGGGATTGGTTCAAAGCTGATTTCGTGACACAAAAGCTAAACGTGCCTTTGGATAAAACAGAAACTGAAGACACGACGGACACTGAATTGCTGGAGGGGATTCCTTTAAGTGAATGGCAGCCCATGGACATTGCACAAAAACCTTCTAATGAAGTTTCGAAAGCAGATACAAATCGAAACTCTGCCTCGCAGCAGCTGGAATTGATTGCATTCAGCGAGTGGCAACCAGATGCCACTGAGTTTCGAACTGCTTCAAGCAAACCAATCAAAGTTTCTGAACAGCACCAAAAGGAAGCTGCCAAATTAATGGCTGATTTGGAGGCGAGCTACATCCAGAAACCAAGCGAGGTCGTTAACGGCAGAGATTCTGCTGCTATTCAATTCCGCACTGCATCAAACAAGACCATGCAAATAACCGAGGAGATGCGCAGGAAAGCAGCTATGTTGATGGCTGATTTGGAGACAGTTGTTGGAAATCCACCAGAGGCTCAAGAGCCACAAATGGATAGGATTTCCGGCTATCACTCAGCGCCAAATAAAACCCTCGAAGCGCCAAAACAAATGCCAAAAGCTGAATTGGACATAAACACTTCAAAGAGAGAGGAAGTAACTATGGACTGTGAAATGCTCGATGGAATTCCTTTAAGCGAATGGCAGCCCATGGACATACCAGACAGCAACCAGACACCTGCCGAGAGCTTCGTTTGCAGTCAGTTGGATATGATACCATTCAGTGAATGGCAGCCAATGGACATTCCCGATGCCGTCGAATTTCGCACTGCTTCAAACAAGGCCATCAACGTTTCTGAGGAGCAACAGAAAGAAGCTGCCAAGCTAATGGCCGACATAGAAGCTAGCTACTCCCAGGAAATGGGAGCAGATGGAAGTAATACAAATCTTGATTCTGAAGTCGAATTTCGCACTGCATCCAATAAGATCATGAAGTTAACGGAGCAGATGCGGCAAAAGGCAGCAATGTTGATGGCTGATTTGGAAACCGGAAATTTAAGTTCCCAAGAGACAACAAAGGAACAGTTGGAACAAATTCAGCTAAAAGAATGCGCGTCGGAAAGGGGTGCAAATGAAGGCTCAGAAGCGAACCAAAATACAAGTATCCATGCTGAAAATATCGAATTTCGCACTGCATCCAACAAGATCGTGAAATTAACGGAGCCGATGCGGCAAAGGGCAGCAATGTTGATGGCCGATTTGGAAGTCGGTCAACAAGAGGAAGAAAAGGAGCACTTGGATAAGATTCAGCTGAAGCAGTGTGCGTCGAGAAACATCTCAGAATCTGTTGACAAGTGTAGAAAACTTAGCACAGCAGAGGATATAGAACCAGAAAATGAAATTCCTGAGCCAACAAGTGATTCTATCGATGGAATCGTGCCATTTGAGCCTGAGACCAGGATTGGTCTGATAACAGCAACGCCACAGCAGCCGCAGCTAGTCACACAGAAGAACTCTGAAACCTTTAATATTCCATTCGAGACTCCCAAATGCACGACTGAGCTGCAGTCCTCGCTGACACAGCTCTCTGAGCGTTCGCCCCTGGACAAAGCCACAAAGAGCTCGATAATTACGCGCCGTAATCTGTTGTCCCTGAATAAGCGACGAAAACAGAAGCGGGATGCTGAGAACTGCAGCGCGGATGCTGGCCGCACGCCGATTAGACGATTTGCACCCATGGCAGCCTCGACAAGCACGCCCATGCCCAGTCGCAAGGACAATGTGGAGGGGGAAGCACAGCGCGTAATGCGCGATCGGAGCTGCTCGCAGGAATCGCCACGCGTGCACAGGGAACGTGTGGGTAAGCGTAAGAGCGAAGAGGCGCTGTCACCCATCTATGCGCCCACAACTAAAACCCGACGACTCGGTTTGAGTCGCATACGGAATAAATCAAATCATGATATTTAAAAAAAAAATAAAAGTGCGGTACAAAAAATACATATACACCATGTTGCAGTGCTGGCAGTGACATTTTTTAGTGCATTTCAGTGGCAGACGTTACTCAACACTACCATATGAGTTTTCCAGTCACTCATTCCATTTCCAATTGGTAAGAAAATAAATAGTCTAATCTAAAATAATAAACAGTGCGTTAAACATAAAAAAAACAAATGTAAATTAACAATAAAAACTATAAAATAAGTAATAGTTGTACAAGTAAGCAAAATGTGTGTAATTATAGTTGTGGCAGGCATCATATAAACAGCTTATGCACTTTGTTTACGTCCGCTGCATAATTTCCATTGGAAGGGACCCAAATATAAAAAGCAAAACAATCAAATATGAAAGTGACTTCATGTTTGCAAAATTCCAAACTGTCATCATGCACATATATATATGAATGTGAATAATATAAATATATATATATATATGTATGTGATTTGGCGTAACATTTAATTGGTCTCGCGTTTGTAATTACGTAGATGCCAGCAGTTGCATACATGTACATGTGTATGTGTGTGTGAAAGTCTGCTCCCAAGTCCAATCACCTACACTTGTTACACAAACAAACAAACGTATGTACATGCAATCAAAAGCTTGTTTTTCTTAGTATATCAACTAAATTTTAAATTTAGTGCTCATATTTGTAATCTATATTGTAGGCGTTTTATCAAGGTCGGTTGTGTGTATTGGAAGTAAAGCTTCATCAGAACAATTCCACTTCTACTCTTGCGGCAAACTAACACAAACATACATAAACGCAAACATGTACGTATGTCACATGCACACACACACACACAGACATGGGCGATGCTTGAAAATTGTTTCGCTATTTAAAATTGTGGCGTATAAGCTGCGGCTCTCTCGTCGGAAATTAAAGCAGCGACTTTATCAGGCACTAACAGTGACAACTCGCTAAAGTGAACACACATTGATAACGGTTAACTTATAAATGACTTATGCTTAAGAGTTAATGTGTGTTTGACTAAAATGTAAATTATTTAAAGTTCTCAAAACCAATTTTGTTAAGGAGAGTGTGTCCTTTGGCAGAGCCTTCACTGTATGTAGCAATTATAAATACAGTTATTTTCAGTCCTCTATCTGTGCAGCGGAGAGTTTACGTTCAAGTTCTAATCATTTGCAACGTTTTGTTTCGCTGGCAAAAAAAAAAAAAAACAAAATGAAGAAAAAAAAAAAGAATGAAAACAAAATTCGTTTCAGTTGAGCACATTTTCAGTTTGAAAACAGTTTTTCTCCGTTTTTGTTATATGCCAGTCGTGTTTCGTACGCTCTACGTCAGTTTATAACGCCACGTCAGTCAAAATTGTCAATAATAGTCATTGTTGTTAATATTTTATAAAATATATACATATACATAAGCATAGATCACTTTTTTTATATATACATTTTTTAGACTATTTGCACCGCCAGTTACAAAAAACCCCCCCCCAAAAAAAAAAAAAAAACCAGGAGTCCCAACATGGCTGACGAATTCGATGGCTGCGAATGCATTTGGTCCCATGAGTTGGCCATGCAAAGGCTCATCAACTTTGTAAGTAGAGCCACAAATCCAATATATGTATATATATATATATCTATATATAAATGATATTTGTAGATACGCCAAAATCAGGATGCCTGCACAGATACCGAGTGCATAGATGGTAAGTGGAACTTTCCGTTTGGCGATTAAACATGTTTAAGATTAACTCTCCTGGTCTTAGTCAGCGGACGCGTAGCTCAGCCGACGGTTGCCGGCGGCGACACCGGCGGAAGCTTCACCATGGCCATGGTATTCATGCTGCTGGCCATGTTCATGTACGTTGTGAATCCGAGCGTTTGGCGCCAGTTCTCCAACAATAAGCCCGGTCGACGTGATAACAATCCGGATGGTGCGCCACCGCCGCAGCCACCTCCGGCGATCAATTGAGCTGCCGCTGGACATGATACGAGCTTGCATTTTCCTTTGGTTATAGCTACATACACAAATAAACGGTTATATATATGTACATAGATGCATATATGTATGCATAGGCTAAACTTGCCACAATATACAAGCATATATATTTATATTGGAAGACAAAAATAAATAATGCAATGAAATCAAAAGCGTTTCGGCCAAAAATTATTAGCTCAATTGATACCAACTCTTGTTTAATCAATATCAATTTTTTTTACAAACTTAGTCACGTACTACATGCTTATATAAATGTATATTGGCATGATTTTGTATATGCGCAATTTTTCAATAAAATTGGCAAATCAAAACGCAATCTCTGCACTTGTTGCTAATTAAAAGCCATGTCCGGTTTATGTATTTACAAATAAAAAGCTCTCCGGCTCAATTGTCCTCGTTTTGCAGCTTCTCCATTTTCTGGCGCACGTTCTTGAGCAGATCCTTCATTTGCTCGTATTTGCCCGTGGAGTCGGGCAGATTCTCAAAGTTAATCACATCGCTGACGCCCACCTTGAAGTTATCGCCCACGGGCAGCTTGTCATAGACGGAAAATTTCAATATGGGCGTGCCAGCTATGGATGGCGCCTTAAAGATGTTGGCCTGACTGGATTCGACGGGAGTAGCAGGCGCCGACGTTTCCCTTTCTTCTGTTTGAGACACATTTGGCAGCTCGACTTCACTTGTGTTGAGTGAAGTATTCGATTCGAGTTGCTCGAGCAATTGGTCCTGCTGCGCCTTCAGATCCTCCAGAGTGGGCGATGGACTGCGTATGCTCGTATCCTGCGCTGGTGGCGGTGGCGGCGTCGTCGCTTTGCTCGGCTCTGCGGGCAAAGGTGGCTGCATAGCCTGCCCCTCCGTCTCATCATCGTCCAGCTCCATATCGTGCTCAACCAGATTTGTGTCGCTTTCCAGCAACGTGGGACTAGCATCATTTGGCGTGGGCAAATCCACCAATTTCTTACGCTTATAGGCTTTCGTCACGTTTTCGCCTAGCGATTTGATGAAGTTCGCCTTGAGCTGGTGCTCCTGAAAAGGTGGCACATTGTGATGTTGAAAGTCCTGGAAATGTGAGCATTAGTTTTACAGTTATTTGCTTGCTGTGGCACATGCCAGATATTTACATCGTAGAACTTGGCACCTGGCTGCGCGTTAAAGCCGGGAAAGTCGATTATTTTATTGACATCATATTTGAAGCTATCCGTTTCGCCCATCTCTTCCTCCGGCCCCTGCACCTCGCTGCCCTGAGACGGTAACAATGATTAGTCTAAGCCAAATGGTATATATGTCTAAGCCCATACTCACATCCGCATTGAACAGCGCTATGCCCGAGCTTTGCACCTTGGCCTCCTCGAGCCAGGCTGGGGGATAGCCCAGCACACGCATCCGGTAAAACATGAACGGCAACTCGCCCCGACTGTAGCCCATGGCATGCCGCGTTTTACTGCTTATGCGGCCGGGTCGTATGTGTGCGAAACGCTGCTCCGTGTCCACATGGTAGCGTTCCGCCCGGCTGTTCTTCTTGCGGGCGCGCTGTATCCGGGCCTGGTTGCGCGGCCGCGGGCACTCACGCAGCGAATGCTCAACGCCGCCGCAATTGAAGCAGGCGGACTGCATCTTGGGCCGGAAGCACTTGTTAACCGCCTCGAGCTTCAGTTTCTTGCGCGCCAACGTGCCCTCGTCCAGCACCTCGGTGTGGCAGCGCTTGTAGGACGGCACTTGGGCTGCATTTAGCTTTGTCGCCGGCGAAGTGTCTATTTGAAATATATCGCCTTCCGGCTCGGGGCTTTTCGCTCTGCCATGCACGCTTATGCTCGTGTCTTTTGTTGTGTACACAAATTCCTCGCCGGCAAATGTCGCGCTTAGCGCCTTGACCAGGCGCTCGTGCAGCCTCTCGAAGTCATCCTTTCGTGTAAAGTTCACCTCGAATATCAGCCCTTCACGTGTAATCGGTTTCTGTTTGGTTATATTTCACTTTAATAGAAAATTACAATTTTTTGTATTGTTTTTCTCGATGCTGTACCTGGTCGTTCGTTCCCTCCAACGAGCGGAACGGGGGCGGGGGCGGCTTTTCTTTGGCGGCAATGTTTACGGCATTTTCTTCAACTTCCCTCACTTCTCCGTCTTCTACGTCGGCATCGCTGTCAATTGTTATGATAGAATCGTTAATTTCTATAACGCTATTGTCCATTTCTCTTTTAAATAAATAAACAGCAAAAAAAACTATTATTTTTCCGTTCATGAACACTGGTTCATAGTTCCAGGGCGACTCTTAAGTACTCGTTGCATTGCAAAGCGAGTTCTAAGTAACGAGTAACGAGTCGGCGCCTTAGCGAAAATTCAAACGCGACGAGTTACACGTTGGATACTTTTTGCCAGCCCCTAATTTTGTATTAATAACAATTATTAATTAATGAAAATTATGTTAAATATATAGCATTCGCTTCGATTGATGTTTGATGCCAAATTCAATGTTGCTCACATTTCCCGCCTGTATTGTGTATATATTTAAAATATTCTCTTCTCTGCCAAGTTGCGTTTTACCAAATATTACATTGTTAAATTATTAGGGTTAAAACAACATTAGCCTTGATTTATAAATCTTAAGCTTTGTCTCAGCTGTTGTCCCTACGATTTTTAAGGGCATTTCGTTTCTCAATCGTCAGAGTGTAAAGAGCTCTTTCCAAAATTGGAATATAATTTAAATAAAAACTTTTTCAATTTTCCCATTGTATTAATTACAGAAAACATTCCTTAAATTCTTATACAAAAGTAACGCCTCCAATTTTGCTTACTTAACAGAAAGAGTTAACGGCAATTTGTTTTAACAGCGCGCCACGGGTCGCTGTTATTAACATTTTAACTATATGTTAGCCGAACTGTTAAGCGTATCGCAGCACAAGCTTAGCTAGGATATTATTAAATAAGTAAGTATTTTATGATATGCATAAACATTTAAATGTAGCAAACAATTCCACATTTTTTTATTTTTCCCAGTAAAAAATTAGGAATTTATAGCGCCAAAAATGTCCTCTGAACACAACGATCCCAAAGATTCGAGCTTCCCCTCGTCGCCCACCGCCCAAATAGCTGTAGAGTTGAAGCCCCCCGTGGACACATATATAAAGTGTCCTTATGACGCCGGGCATCGCATTTTGCGCAGCCGTTTATCCTGGCACTTGACCAGATGCGCTCGCAATCATCCCGGCAGCAATATGATACGCTGCCCCTTCAATATCACCCATGTGGTGCATAGCTCCGACATGGACGTAAGTGAAGGTAGCACCGCTTGCCACATCAAATAACTTGAAAAATATTTCCACTTTGTACGACAGTCGCATATTAAGAACTGCTCGAGCCGAATTGACTTCGAGAGATTTCAAAATCCCGACGTGTTGCCGCCCAAAGAGCCAATTGCCTCGCCCGTTCCCTTGGTGGAGTCCTCCGAGAACTGGGATGATGAGCCCCCGGTGGAAACCTACGATCCGAGAGCCTACTGTGAGCAGAACCTCGTGATACGCAGCTTAGTCGGTGCGCCGCCAGCTTCGCGGCGCGTTTTTCGCGAACTCGAGCGAAAGCGTTTTCAGCAAATTAGCCAAGGCAAGAACAACTAAAATGTGATTTATACATACATACATGCAAACATACACATACATACATCATTTTATGTACATAAATTTCAAAAATAATATCTGCAGAAATGCCTCATCGACAGCTCGTTTCATTTCGCAACGGTTCGTTCCAGCCAGTGTTGTAAAAGCTCACGATTATTTAATACTAAATATTGTGCATGGTATTTAAACGTTAATTATATTTATTTATAAAAGATTCGCATGATTCATGCAGCTGCATGAAAATATGTAGAAAATGCATTTCGACTTCCGCAATCGCCATGAGATATGGTTAAGTAAAACAAACAGAAATGAATTCAAATCATTCGAAATGCGAGTCAAGTGTTCTCAGCCGAAGACGACGTCATTCTCTCTAGAGAATCGCCGACTGAATGACAACTGAATGCTGCCCGGCAGCGATCATTGAATAATGTTGCGCAGAATCACGACATAATTATTAATTCAACTTACAACTGGGGGAATTCTCAGCAACAACAACCACCAACAGCCATGTGATTCTCCGTGCTGTACGAGTTGCGAGCGTTAAAAATGAATTTGAATAAAAGTGCGCGAAAAACGGCGACGATTCCTGCATGCCAATTAGGCTTTTCTTGCTTCGCGTGGCCCAACATAAATAGTCCGGCGGCGGGATTAACTGCCGCACACTAGCCATGCATCTGCTCAAGTGTTATCTGCTGCTTCTGGCCATTGCAGCCTCTGCCCTGGCCACGCCCACACACGACAAGTTCAAAGGCGGCGCCTTCGCTCTGCAGAAGCCCAGCTATTTGCCGAATCCCGCCCAGCTTTTGGGCGAACTGTCCGCGAAATTTGTCAAGTCAAAGCCGGCGTTTGTCAAGCCCGTCGTTGTGAAGCCCATTGTTGTGGTCAAGCCTGTAATTGTGGGCGGCGGCGGTGGGCATGGTCATGGACACGGTCATGGGCATGGGCATCACGGCAAAAATAAGTTCTTTGGCAAATTTTAGTTGCAGCTAATAGGTTTAACTAGAGTAAAGCGATCTATAATGTGCTAAACGCTAATAATTGAAAATAAAATTTTAAGTAATAAAGTTAGTTCTTTAAAATTGTTAATCAACTTCAACTGCAATATCATTGCCAAATTGAGTTTATGTAGTTTTAGCATCTAGTTTACCATCTAGTTTAGCAGCTAGTTACAGTTCAGTTGGCTAATTTAGCTTGTTTCCCGCTAAGCTGAGCATCTTTGTCGGATAACCCGCTGCTTGGAAAGTGAAAGGCTTTCGATGGCACATCCTACGTTCCTTTCAATAAGCGCATATCGATGTGCATAATGAATCGTCCTTGCTGACGCTATTGAACTAATGACATCCTTTGTGACTGAGGCTGTCATCTGTCCTGGCCAATTGCATTGAGATGAAGATGAATAAAATAGTTGCCATGAGCATTAAAACACAGCGGCAACAAGTGATAAGAGCGCATTCTAATCAACGTGCCACATAACCGTAATCATAGTCATAATCATAATCATATGACAGACACACGCACACACACACACACACACACACACGCACACACGCACACACAGAGAGATATATCTAATTTATACAGTTGTCTTGAGGGCGCTTTGTAATCAGCTACAGCAGCCGCGTTTTATGCAAAAAGAAGACCGCAACAACCCCCCCCCCCCCCTACACCCCTGTTGGCATGTAAAGGGGACTATATAAGCGGCTGGGCCAGAAGTTTCGCAAACATTTTGGCACAGTTTGCAGAACCCGACGGAGTTTTGGCCACAGACAGCAGTCAGTTATAAGAAAAACCCAGTTAAAGGCTTACAAAATGGTGAGTGCGAATCAGATCTGTAAACCACATTTGAAAAACAACTAAGAGTGCTCGGGTCGGGTATGCCCGATTAGAAGATACGCTGTTGTTGTTAATATTCTAGACTAACTCCACCTTCCGTTATGAAATAATCAAAGCCCAACACTGAAGCTTTAACGATGCATTTGTTGCGCTTTCGATATATATCGATACCTATCGATACGAGGCGCTTCATCGATGTTTTGAAATAAAGCCGATCTTTTCGTGCACTGGCAAGTCCTATTTTATAAGTCTAGCCAGTTCCTAGACAAGGAGTTAGATAAGTTTCTTTCTGCCTGCAACTATTATACCCTTTTGGTATAAAATGGGCTAGGGTATAATTAAATGCGATCGGCACTTGGGTAATCTTTGAGCTAAGCCCAGCTATTTATAGACGCGCAGTTTCCATTGCAGCATGCACCAAAAACGGGTTTGATTCAAATGCCAACAAGCCGATCTATAATTGCAATCGAAATGAAAATGCAAATGGAAGTGGAAATGGAAATGGAAATAGTTAGAGTGTGCAAGTACAATGTGTCCACGATGGAAAGGTTGACTCGAAATAGTGTGGCCAGAGTAGACAGCTAATGTTAGGATATACTAAATTTGTTTGTTAATTGAAGCTTTGCAGTAGAAGATCGCATCGGCTGCCCACTAAAATAAGAATGTGGCTTTCTTAAATGGCAGCAGTTTAATCTGGTTTGTTGGCTTAAGTGCCCATCACGAGACAGAGTCACGAATTTAGATACAGATACTTTAGTGCCTGGCGACCTTTTGCACTCTCCATCTCTCTCACTCTCTCTCTTGAGCTTGTGTTTGGCATTTTCTTACTTTGTGCCTGCTAAGTATTTATAATTTGCGTGTGCGCCGCTCATTTAGTCAACGTCTGTCCATATATCTCAAGAAAATACGGCCAATTAACTGTCAGCGTGGACGGACAGCCGCCCTACCGCAACCCATGCAGCTGACGCCACAGCTAACCCAAGGGGGAAGGGGGCGGGGGAGGGGGGGGGGGGGTGGGTGCACTGCAATAGCAAGTGTTGCATTCGGTTAGGCAATTGCGTAATCAATTCAATCGTTAAATGGAGACTTCTTGTAAATATCTCAATGCTTATATAAATAGATATATATATTCATATTTCTTATTATTTTATAAGTCTCTCAAGTATTGCAACATTTTGAAGCTCAGACAACACGTCTGACCGTATCTCGGTTTATTGAATCATACTTGTGCTACATTACAAGTTTGTTGACACGCTGACGTATACGTGATGTGCACACACACACACACACACACGCACACGCACACAGGTGAGGTGAGGTGCCCACCATAGATGATTTACATGTATTACTAACAAAATATACGAACCGCAGGGCAAAGCGCTAGCGTAAATCTAATTGTAAACAGGCGTATAATTTATATGTATGTATATATATATATATAGCTGGATGGCTTTGGTTACGGTTATATTTAAGTCCGGGGCTGTCGCGTTGCCGCCCCAAAAACGGAAATGGGCAATAATATGCGACGCAGCTCAAACTTTTTTTTTTGTATACATATATTTTATTTTACACGCTTTTACATGCTTGGCGACAAGCCACGGCGTCGTCAACTGAAGGTGGCGGCGGCGCTGCAAGAACGCCTGGAAAGACACTTCTTACACTAACACACAGACACACATACAAATGCAGCCCAACTTCTGTATACCCTACATAGCTGCTATCGGTAGGGATATATACCGCTTAAAGTAATTTAAAAACTGTTCAAATCTAGTCGAAATGTTCAATATAAAGCCTACTTTTGGGAATTAGAAAATTTCGATTTTTACGAGTGTAATATTTTACAAACACTGTTAGTTAGTTAGTTTCCAGAACACTCTTTTAAATATACTAAAAAATATCTCCTTACGCTCTTCAATTACCTTGTTTATATTGTTTATTATAGCAGATTTTTAAAATCAGTTTATAAGATGTCACATTTTAAGCGGCATCTCATAGTCGTGCATGGCCACACTAAACATTTCCTTGCTCATTTATGCTCGTGACGCGTTTTATTTTGGTGAGTCGAGTGAATTACAGTTACATGCTTCAATTTCAATTCGTGCATTTGTGTGTGTGTGTGTGTGTGTATGACTTAAGCAGTGGCGTAGCTTGGAGGGGCGCTAGCTCCAGGCGTACACTGCTTTGGTTGGCAGCCTCCGACTGGCCAGTGTTGCCATGCCTCTGTGCCAATGCATTGACCAAAGTTGGGCACATACACGCACGCAGTTATCAGTGAGCTTAAAAGGGGGGCGGCGTTGTATTGGGGCCGCAGACAGACACTCAACTCGGGCAACATTGCGCCTGTAAGTGTGTGTGTGTGTGTGTGTGTATGTGTGTGTGTATCCGCACGATCGTCCGTGTTCCAGTGCTCAGTGCTCAGTGCTCGCTGCTCAGTCCCCCACAGCCAGTCCAACATTTTGTCAATTCATTTTTTGCATTTAGTCTGCTTTCGTTGCTCATGCGGCTTGACAATTTTGCTTTCGACATAAAAAAAATATTTCGAAAAAAAATATATAAGAAAAATGAGAAATTTTGTAGTGTTTTTTTTTCTCGATATGGCGCGTCGCCTTGGCATATAGCTAGATATAGGTATACATATATGTATATACCCATTTCTATATAAGCCAACAAAGGTATTTGCAGATATACTTTGGCTACTTGAAAGTATGTATATACTTACTATATATATTTGAATATGTGTATGCGTGTACAACTACAACTGCATGTGGTACACAGTCAATTGTGAATTATCAGTAACAACGTGAGAATTGTGCGGCCCTTGTCCAGGGGCGACAGCTTCGATATACGCCGCGTATCAATTATGTGGAAATATATTTACAAAGATACATATGCATATGTACGTATGTTTGCGTGTGAGTGTCCATGTGTGTCTATGTGTGTGTGCGTGCATATGTAAAGCAATTTCGATGCCCTGGCACTGAATGTCACTAAACGCGCCAACCACTCGCATTGCGTGCGAATGTTACACACACTCACACAGCCAGTGTGTGAGAGAGAGCAAGTTAACCCAGTGTTTCTCCTTCTTTGCGTGCGTGTGTGTGTGTAGATCAGCTTCGCAGTCGCAGCAACAGCAGCAACAGCAGCAGCAGCGGCAGCAGCAGCAGCGGCGGCAGAAACCGCACGTCAAACAAACAACAATTTACATTCATTCATTGCGCGTCGGCATCATTGTGAAC